AGTATATTCCATTCTGCAACCTTTATTCCGAACTCTTATGTTAATCATAACGCCCTAAAATATATTGCCCTTGTTCAACTCCTATGGCAGCATCATCCTCTTTTTCTCTGCAATTTTCTTCTCTTCGATACTCTACTCCATAGATTCTCCTCACCTTGGTCACCCTGAACTCTGTCTCCTCCAGACAGCAAGATGGCTCTATGTGGTCTCTCCCTGCTCTGTGTCCTGGAAAATAGCTGTACTCAGTAAGCCAGTGAAATCCTGCAGGTCTTGTTTATGTTCTTTATCTCTGGAATGACAGTCCTGCAGTGTCTGTTTTCCAACGTCTGAAAGTAAAGTGTTGGGGTTTTTAAAAATTCCTTTAAAATAAAAAGTAAGTAAATTATCTCCTACTCCATCTTTATGAGAAGAAAACATCTCTAGTTAGTTGGTTTTTCTGGGAAAGCATCACCTTTTTCCATCTTCTGACCTGAAAGAATTGAAGAACTCAAGACTCCTAGTTCTCCAGTCTAAGTCATTATGGATGTGTAATAATGAATGTTCTTGGATAGACAAAAAAAAAAAATCACCCCAAAAACCCCAGACTAAAATAACTGTATGCACACAGGGTGATCTATCACTTTGGTTGTATAGATAACAACAGTCACTACATTACAGTTGTTAGAATTGATCAGTGATTGCATCAAGGCTAGCCTAACAATATTTGGGGCATTGCCAACAGTTATATTGCCTCTGAGATGTGCTAGCAATTACCTATGTAAGCTATGTCTTAGATAGGTTTTAAGTAGGAAAACAATTATACTCTAGTCTTATTTGCCTCTAGTCTCCATTTCTATCCAATGATAGGGCTGCTGTTGCTCAGTGCCACCAAGTTGGCCTCAGCAGTCCCATGTAGATTGCAACAAAATCCTGCCCAATCCTGTGTGCTCTGCACAGTTTCTTCTTTGTCTGAGCCAACTGTTGGAACCACCATGTCAATACTTCTCCTTGCAGGTCTTCCTCTTTTGCTGACCCTATACATTTTTTTTTCTTTAAATGAACATTCTTACTATTTTTATCTGGTTGTTCCTTTTCCATTGATCTAGACTCCCTGAGCACTTATATTCGTATACTTATTTTAATCATTGTTGATTTCATATTTTGGGGTTTTTTTTTAAGGAACATAATACTTACAGATTGCAGTTTCTTTTTTCTTTGTTTGCTTGTTTATTTTAGACATTCTGTTGTCAAGCTACAAGGTGGCCTTAGGAATTAGCTCCATTTTAAAGTCTAAAGAATAACTGAAGGCAACAGTCCCAGGGATTCCTCTAGTGTCATCCAGTACAGTAGACTTAGTTGGTTTGTTGTTAGTGCTGTTTTGAAAATCTCTGATTTTGTACCACATTTTCCTCCCATTTTATCTGGGTCTATCTAATATAACCCTGTCAGCAGTGCTAGTTAAGCACTCTAGTTCTATTCAAACTTGTAATAGATATTTTATTAGAAAGTTATGTCAGTATTTAATTGAAGTATATGTCTATCAAATGATAACCTCTTTTAAAAACATTTGGTGATTGCCATGATACAATGTGTTTCATGTTCTTGCTTCATTGATTAAATCTTGATATCATTTATTTATTCTTAATCTCTTCTGTTAAATATTGATGCCTCATTGGTTTTATGTCTTTGCTTTTCTTCTTCTCATTTTAACCTCATCTGAAGCAATCCTATCCATCCATGAAAGACTTGCGAATCTAAATTTCTAGCCCCTATATCTGGTCTGAGCTCTCTACATAAATATCCAACTATCTTCTAAATATCTCTACATGAATGAACCCTGATACTTTAAAGTCTGCAATCTAAAGTAAATGCATAGCATTTTTCCTAACTCCTTCCCTCCAAAAGTTTTCTTTCGGTTACATTCATTGACTTACCCCCAAATCAAAACCCAGTAGTCATCAGCTTTTCCCCTTACTCTGCATCTACCCTGTGACAAAAAGCCATCATTCCTAATTTTTAAATAATTCTTAAATCTATTTTTATCTTCCTCATTTTCATTAACATGTTTGATCTATTAAATTACTGGTTTGTACTCTTATATTACCACCCAAGTTAGTAAACTGTACAAATGTAGCAGAATAATTATTACATCTCTGTGATTTAGATGGGTTTTTGTTTGTTTGAAACTAGAAATTATGTATGCTATCTCTGTACTGTCAACATCTAATACTGGTCTGGCAAAGGTTAAGTTCTCAATACTTGTGTATTGATCAAATGAATATTACATGATCAGAAAGAATGAATGGATGTTAACTCTTTGCCTCATTATTGGTCAAAAAGAAAATGTTCAGTAAGGCACAGATAATAATTAGAAAAATGACAAAAGCAACCAATAATACTGTGTACTTACTCATAAGTTCAATATCAAGTAAACAAAGATTCTCACCACTGAGCCAATTGGCAGCATCATGATAGAGAAAGAGGGACTGAGATTGTTAACAGATTCCGTTCCCTTGGCTTCACAATCAATGTTCTTGGTACCAGTAGCCAGGAAATCAAAAGATTAATTTTGTTGGGAAAAGTCTGCTGTCAGGGACCATTCCAGAATACTGAGGAGCAACAATGCCAGTCTAGAGACTAAGGTGCACCTGATGCAGGCCATAGTTTTCATAATTACTCATTATGCATCAGAGAACTGGGCAGTGACTAAGGAGGACAGAAGGACAATTGATGCCTTTGAGTTGTGGTGCTGGAGAAGAGTATTGAACATACCATGAACTTCAAAGAGAACAAACAGATCTGTCCTGGAGAGGGTAAAACCAGTTTGCTCCTTGGAGGCAATCATTCTGAAGCTCCATCTCACATATTTTGGGCATATGGCCTGGAGAGACTAGTCCTTGGAGAGGACATCATGCTTGGAAAGGTGGAGGGACAGCACAGCAGAGGAAGACCTCAGATGAGGTGAATTGACAAAATAACTGTAGTAATAGGGTAAGTATGTCAGAGACAGTGAGCTTGGTTCAGGATAGAGCAGAGTTCAGAGCTATTTATTCTACATAAGGTAACTATGAGTCAAAAGCAACTCAACAACACATAAAAACAACAATAACAGCCCACAAGCTGGTCAAAGAGCTACCCCTACATCCTCAATTGAATATAGCAATAGATTTCTGAAGTAAGCACCATTTTGAAGAAGCCCAGAGGCTGGAAGAGGGAGAAATGAACAGAAGCATGATTTAGATCCAGAAAAACCTGAATACTAAGACCATACTCTAAGATAATCTGCTTGGAGAATTAATTAATTAATTAATTAATTAATTAATTTTTTACCTTTAACAAGAAAAGTAACAGCATGCGTGCTGTCAATGGAAATGACAGCTCTTGATAGTTAGGATGGTGGAACAGTCCTTAGGGCGCTGTGCAGCTAATCCAAAGGCCACAGCTCTCTGGTGGTTCTACTCCACCAGCAGCTTTCTCTGCAGGAGAAGGACGAGCAGTCTTGTTCTATGTCATCTACAGCCTTGGAGATCAGCAGTGAGCTGATTCTGACTGGACAGTGAAGAGTTTGAGTGTTTGAGAGTTAGGAAAGAGGATGTAGTGATTGTTATGCGTGTTAAAAATACTAACACAACATCACAGAAACTCTGTGTTTCTTCCAACAGGTCCTCCTGTTATCACCCTTGAGCCAGTAGAAACAGTTACCAATGCTGGAAGTAAAGTCCTTTTGAACTGCCAGGCAACCGGAGAGCCGCATCCAACCATTTCATGGTCCCGTCAGGGGCATCCCATTCCCTGGGATGACCGAGTTAATATGTTGTCCAACAATTCCTTATTTATTGCTGTTGCTCAGAAAGAAGATACCTCTGAATATGAATGTGTTGCTCGAAACATGATGGGTTCTGTCCTTGTCCGAGTTCCTGTCATAGTCCAAGGTGAGTCGATCCAATAGATACTCATATTGAACAGCACCTTGGATAACTGAAACCATAAAACTTATTAAACATCTTCGTCTAAGTCTCTTTTATCTTTAAAATAACCCTACATTATGGAAACGGGACAGAATCTCATTACAATTTAGAGTGAAGAGAATAAAACGATGCAAATTAGAATTGTAAAGTGCCAAGGCAATAATTCAAAATCCCAAACTAACTGAGTTATAATAAAGCATTTAGTAAATAAATAAATAAAAATTATCCTCAAATACCAATGTGTATATTTTTCTTTGAATAATGATTTCTATCAAAAAGGTAGCTACTTGTTATATTAACTTCTTGTTCTCCAATTCTTATAGAAATCATGGTGGTATGATTCAGGATTGGGCTTGGAAAGAAACTCTATTCAACTGTTGGGGAGTTTTCCTCTCAGTCTTAGAATTGAATCTGACCTTAAAAGAGAGCAGATTGAATAGCAATGTCTCAATAACGACAGGTTCAGCTCTAGACCAGTGCATATCTTAAATGAATTGGAATTTACAGCAAAATTTTATCTACAAAACCTGAGACAAGGTACAATGATTTATTTGCAGTTAATGGTGGATTTTCTCAGTGGGCTGCATGGAAGTCCTGCAGCGTCACCTGTGGAAAAGGAATCCAGAAAAGAAGCCGTCTGTGCAACAACCCCTTTCCAGCCAACGGTGGAAAGTCTTGCCAGGGCTCAGATTCAGAACTCCGAAACTGTCACAATAAGCCATGTCCAGGTACATCCCTTTATTTAACCAGTAGATATGTACTTAACAAATATTCATTGATGGTCCTGAACTTGGAGTTACCTCAAGACTAGTACTTTAAATTCAAATATATCCGATGGATTAACTCATTATTCATCTTTGAATAGTGGATGGTAGCTGGTCAGAATGGAGTTCTTGGCAAGAATGCACAAGAAGCTGTGGACGCGGCAACCGAACACGGACCAGAACTTGCAATAATCCATCTGCTCAACACGGTGGTCGGCCGTGTGAAGGGAATGCTGTGGAAATGATCATGTGTAACATTAGGCCTTGCCCAGGTTAGTATCCCTAAAGAATACAGGATAATCAGACTATCATAAATCCTATAGTAAGTTTGAAATACCTGTCGTTCTTTTCTGTAAAAAGATGATATAACCTTACCCTTAAAAAAAAATTCCATTTTCCTACATCAGTCTTATGTGTTAACTTGTAGAGGAATGGCATTAATCTCTGTAAAAGTAAAATGTGAATTCATTAAACAAGATACAGACTCTAAACTGTGGCATATTTTGTAGTCATGTAGCAAAAGTGCAAGTATTTACAAATCCATAGAAATTTTTAAATAAATGAATGCCCTTATTATTGTTAGCTGCTTCTGAGTTGGTCCCCAACTCATGGTGACATCAGATACAATAGGATGAAATGCTCCTGGTCTCATGCCGTTCCCATTATCCACTGCAGATGAAACGATTGTGATACTAAAGGGTTTCATTGGTTAATTTTTGGAAGTAGATCACCTGGCCCTCTTCCTTTCCTGTGCTGACCCTCTACTCTTCCAATCATGCTGTCCTTCTCCAGGGATTGATCCCTCATGGCAAGATGTCCAAAGTATGTGAGATGGAGCTTCAAACCTCTTGCCTCCAAGGAGGTAAAACTCCAAGGTTTCACCCTCTCCAGGACAAACTTGTTCATTCTCTGAGCAGACTATATTCAATACTCTTCCCCAGCACCACAACTCAGATGCATTGATTTTTCTTCTCTCCAGCTCTCAGCTGCACAGCAAGCAATTGAGAACACTATGGCCTGGATCAGGCGCACCTTAGTTTCTTGACAGACACTGTTGCTCTTTAGCACGTTGGAGAGAGAGGTCTTTGACAGTAGATTTTTCCAAAGCAATTCTACTTCGATACTTAAAAGATAGATTTTTTTTTTTTAATTCCCTATTGAGTTTTCTTTACAAAAGTAGGTTACCAGTCTTTTCTTCTGGGGAACTGCTGGTTGTGTTCAAACTGCCAACCTTTCAGTTAGCAACCAAGTATATTACTATTTGCACCACAAGGACACCATCGTAAGTTCTCTACAGTGATCTACGGGATAAAAGGTTGCTCTGCCAACCCACAGATAGTCAATTTCAATCCACCTCCTGCTCCACACGAGAAAGATGGACTATCTGCTCCTATGCAGGTTACAGCCTCTGAAGCCCCACTAGAGAGTATGCTATGAAGTCGGTTCTGACCTAATGGTACGTAACAACAACACTAACATTCCAGTGAAGATGACAGAAATGTAGCTGAAGCTCAAGTGAAAAATTCTGCTTTCAGGTGCAATTGTATCCAAGGATTTGGCCAAAGTTTTTACTAGCATGTTTTATGTTTCTTGCCTCTTTGACTTTATTGTGCCATAAATTCTCCATATAATAGAGAATTGGTAGCTACATGCTTTACAGATTAAGTCTTGAGAGGAAAAAAAATATCCTTTCCTTTTCTCTTTCAATATTCATGTCACACTCAGAGAAATAACACCATTTGGCTCTTCTTAGACTTCAGCCACTTGGGAGAAGGCTGTGGTAATAGCCAGTGCTTTCCCACTTACTTCATGGCGAGAGGTGCAGGAGTCCTTGCTTGATAGCACAAAGGAAATCATAGACTAGCAGAAATGTTTGTTCATTTATTGGTTTGTTTGTTCATCCAACAAATTTTTTTGGTCTATTTATTTATTTTTTAGCACCTACCTGAGCCTCAGGTAGCACTTCATAGGGGCTGGGCTGCCAGTGCTGCAGTGGTGGCTCTTTGGTGTTTTAAGTCTACCAGGAGTTCAACAAGAGAGTGATAGTCAATATCCTCCCATGTCATTTGCAGTCTCGGGTACCTACTTGGAGAGTCAACTATGAGATGCTTCCCACTTGATGGCAATGAATGAGTGAGTGGAGTAGATTAAGTGTTGAGCTTTGAACTGGAAAGTCAGCAGTTCAAACCCACAAACCACTCAGTGGCAAAAAAATGAGGCAGTTTGCTCCTTTTACCATTTAAACCCCAGTAGGGTTGCCATGATCACAGTCAATTGACATCAATTGGCCAACAGTTAGTTTGGTGTGTGTATATATATTGTTTGGGGGGAAATATTATATAGGCCACACTTTTCTGGTAGTTTGAATCCTCCAGCGGCTCTTCTAAATAATATTGGGCAGACTTCTCTCATGAGGTTTACAGCCTCGGGAACCACATTCAGGATCACCGATGAATTTATTTTGACTCATCTTTGTTTTTCTTGAGAAAATTCAGAGACCAAAATTCAGAAAGTATATGTTAAGTAATTCAGTAAGATTTTAGAACTATAAAAAAAAAAGTAAATTAAGGAGTTGAACTCATTTATTTTATTATCTAGGCCTATTCTCTCAGATTATAATTATTTTGATTTACAGTTTAGAATGCCCATTATATTTTCAAAAAAGTAAAATACTGTCCCAAAATCCAAGGTCAATTTTATATATTTAAAATAAATCCAAAGTCAATTTTTCAATCAGGAAGGGGGAAAAATGAGTAAGCTAATTATAATAGCACAATCTTTGCAAAATACATGATTAGAGCAATTTCTATACAAAATGTTAGCTATGATGGCTATGCAGTTGCCATAAAGCCAATTCCAACTCAAAGCTGTACCAGGTTTCTAAAGCTGTAAATCAGAGTGAGGGGAATGTCCATCTTTCTCCCACAGAATCACTGTCAGAAAAGCTCAGCCTTTAGGTAAGCAGCACAACAGTCTACACCCCTAGAGCTCTTTAATGAAAACCAACATGTCCTCAAAGAAGTCTTTTTCTTTTCCTTGCTCTCTTTCCAGCTTCGGTAACTCTTGGCTCACTATTCATTTGCTTACTGTTGTTTTGATGTTTTACTGTTTGTTTGGCTTTCTTGAGTTATTCCCCCAAGGCACAAAATGGATTCAATTTAGTCATTTTTTGGTTTTGTTTCCTTTTGCATAGTTGGAGCCAACCAACAAAAGCCAGTTGTACAGGTCTTTTCCAAGCTGAGAATTTAGTAACGTTGTATTGGTAGCTAGATATCAATGAATATTTACATCAAGAGAATCAGCACCAGCTCCAAACTAGAGGACTTTTTCTCCAACAGAGATCTGGTTGGTAAACACTTATCAGCTCCCTGTTAGGAAATAGGTAGAGAGCTGGAAGTAGTCTTCTTCATCCAGTGAATGGCAAAATCTTGGAAGCAGAAGAGCTTTTTTCTGTTAATACTAGTTTATTTTTAAGTAATGCCAACTTAAAGAACAGTTATAGGAAAATACAAAGAATACCTATGTATCATTTACCCGGACTTCTCAATATATATTTCTTAAAACACAGACCTTCCTTTATATAAACACAGTTGTTGTTGTTAATTGCCATCAAGTCACGCACAACTCATAGTGACCCAATGAACAAAAGGCCTGAAGCCTTTATATAACTATCATCGTTTATCAAAGTTCATAGAGTTTCCAGAGGCATGTTGTTTAAGAAGTGGATGCCACTCCTGCTTCCCAATAAACACAGAACAGTTACTAAATTTAGGGACGTTAGCAGTAATACAATATTATCTAATCTTGTTATCTAGTAGTAATAAGTGATGCAAATTTTATTAATTTTTTTTAAGTGATGCAAATTTTAAGCACTGAACTACTAACTGAAAGGTTGGTGGTTTAAGCCCACCCAGAGGCTCCTTGGAAAACAGATCTAGTGATAAGCTCTGAAAAGGTATTGAAATTCTCTATACAAAACTTTTTCTATGCATATGAGTCTCTGTGAATTGGCATTGGCTTTATGGCAACTTTTGTACAAACCTCTTAATAACAAGAATGCTTTGGCGGCATAGCCCACAAAAAGTCATCCTGCTATGCAAAGGCAAAGCCTTTCACTAGCAAAGCCTGTCACTCCAAGGGAGAAAAATGGGCAATCTTTCCATCTCCTTCCTAATCTCCTCTGTGGTTTATAGCCTCAAACACTCCTGGAAGGTCAATTATAGATTTGTTCCAACTCAATGGCAGGGAGAAGGAATAATAATATCATTGTTCATTACTATAATCTCATAAATGCTATTCTTTACTCTACAAACTACATTCAAATGTTACTGTCTCTGTTACATCCTTTATAATGTTTTCTAAATCTAAGATTAAATCCAGAATCACACATTGCATTTATCTGACATATCCCTTTAGTCTCCTCTGGGACAGTTTCTCAAATATTAACTTTCATTACCTTGACTTTTTTAAAGTCAGTTTGGGTTTGCTTAATATTTATTTCCTCATGATTAGACTCAGGATTTATGTTCTGGCAGAAAACCACAGAAATGATTTTGTGTCTTTCTCAGCACATTATATCACATGGTAATTATCTTGACTTTCCCCAGACTGAGGTATCAAGCTTAATTACTTATTTAAGGTGTTAGCTTCAATTGCTTAAATGCTATTATTACCTTTATACTTAGTAAAGATTTTGACAAGGTACTCTGAGACTATATAAGCATCTTATTTCTCATCAAACATTCTTCACGCACTAGTTTTTGCATCTATTCATGTTGGGGGTTTTTTCCCTTGAATCAATTAGTACTAGGACCTTTGCAAAAGGGTTATGATCTAATTCCATAATATCTTCTACTTGACCATTATTTTTCTATTTTAAAAAGGGAGCCCTGGTGGCCTCATGGAAAAAATAACTCTTATTTCTTTCTATTTTCACTTATATCACTAAGTACAGTTTTTCTTTTATTACGTAATTTATAAATAATTATGCTTATTTACTGTGATACTCAAATTGGCTCAGATTTACTTGGTAGAGACTCCTTCGATTAGCTGCAGTGCTCTCTGACAGGCAGCTGTTCTATTAGCACTACTTTCCAGTGTAAATAGATATTTCAGTCGCATGTTTTCCTTTTCTTGCCCCACTGTTGGAGTCAATCATTCCTCCAAGAATCCTAGGTTTTAAAATAAGAAATCAAATTCAAACCCACTGGTCTCAAATTAGTCCCAGCTCATAGTGACCTTCCATTAGGCATCCGAGCTTATAAAATGTAGTGAGAGGACATTTCTCATCTTTCTTACAAGTATCTGCTGGTGCATTTGAACCACGGGAGATGAGCAATCTTTAGGTTAGGCAGACAACTCACTAAGGACTGTGCCACAGAGCTCCCTCGGAAAGAATGTTACTGTATGAGACATTGAGTCAGAACTAATTTATAGCTGAGCCCCCCCACCCCCCACCTCGCCAACAATAGATTTTCAGAGGCAGTGAGTCATATGAGAGGAGGAGATTACCCACTGGTCTTCTGCAAACTGTGTAACTGTGGGTTGGCAGTGCACCTCCCTACCACTGGGCTACCAGAGGTGACATGTAGCAGATAAGGCTAGAAGGACATTGGAGGGGCACAAGGAGGAGGGAGAGAGAAAGAGAGGGAGGAGGAGAGGGAGAGCTAGAGGGAGAGCACAAGCGCGCGCGCGCGCGTGTGTGTGTGTGTGTGTGTGTGTGTGTGTGTGTGTGTGTGTGTGTTTGAGAGAGAGAGAGAGAGCAAGCAAGCGCGAGCGAGCGCGAGTGGCACAAGCGAGAGAGCGCAAAAGCGAGCAGGAATGCAAATATAGGTGTAGTGTCTGGATGACATGGTTTATATTCAACAACTACTGGCCTAAAGTTTGCAGCTGGACTCCAGAATGCTGGGGGGAGAGAGCATAGTCATCTGCTTCCTTCAAGATGACAGTCAAGAAAACTCCATAGAGCAATTCTACTCTGTAGCACATAATCCACGTGAGTCAGAATCAGCTCAGCAGTGGTGGATTTAGGGTTTTTGTTGGTTTGCATTTTGGGTATTGAATGATGCAAATGGTCAATGAGCTTAACTGATAACCAGGTTAAAAGTTTGGTTTCACTCAAAAGTAAATCAGAAGAAAGGACTAATAGTCTACTTCTGAAAAATCTGTTAAGAGTGATAGAAAATTAAAAAAAAAAGAGCGATAGAAAATATTAGAAACATATACCGATGATGGTTACACAGCTTAATGACCACCATTAATGTCATTAAATTCTACATGCTGGGAATTTGAAACAGAAAACATTTTGTTACATATTTAGCACATTTTTCTAATGAAAACCATCCCTTGAAAACTCTTTAGAGCACAGTTTTACAAGGACACAAGACATCCCATGAGTCAGAGGCCCCTCAGTGGCAACTGAGGATGAGGAGTCTAAGCATCAGCAGTCTTGATGCAGATGTAGCTTCGAGTTCTTTGTTCTATTTTTAAAGACTTTCAACTTCACTTTCAGGTTTAGTCAAGTTCATTTTAGTGCAACTTTCTACCAGCTAGAATAGATTTATGTTTATATTGGTCTGAGTCTATAAAGTACAAGGATAGCTAATAAATTCAATCATAAACTCAATAGAGCCAGGTACAACATATGTTTTCAAACAAAGCATGCAAACAATAACTGATAACTTCATTTCTTGGTTTTCAAATTATTTTTCTGGCATTCTATTAGTTGTGTTAAGAGAATATTTAAACATGGTTCTTGGAGTCCCTATTTTAGTTCAAATCTTGGATAAACAGGTGAGAAAAAGAAAACATATTTTGTGAACCAATATCCAGGATATTTTTTTCAAGCAAAAAATATGACCTGTTCCTGACTTACATGAAAGAGAAGCCATAGTTTTGATATTAAGCCCATACACCTGGTAGGAAATACAGGTTGTTCCAATCTTGTGGTCAGATGGTGTAATATGTTACCAGAAGGCCTTAATATCACACTTTGGAAATTGCTAGTCAATTTTTTCTGTTGTTTAGGAAGCAGGTAAGTGTGTTATTCAGAAAGGTGTTAATTCATGTACATTATGTAATGGAGAAATTTTTCAAAGAGTTGCATCGTTGTACTCATCCTGTTGTTGAAAGATCCGAGTACATATTCAGACATGAAGCTGAATCAAGCTGCAAGCTGTGGTCTTGCAGGCTAAGCCTCAAGTTGTTATTATGAGGTGATTGATATTGCCCAATACCACCTCTAGAAGTTTTATACAGCCTTGCTTCTAGTTCCTCCATCTTTCTCCAAAGCACAAATGGTACTCAGCTAAGATTTAAACACTTGGATTTTATCTGCATATGGAAATTTAATGAAATATAATTTTTTTAAATTTTCTACTAGTATATTTACAAAATTCAAAATCTAATTTTAATAAAATAGCCCCTCTGGATCATTTGAAGCATTTATTTTGGCATCAGACAGCCTTCTGAACTTTTCTATAGACACAAATCCCTGTGAAAACTAAGCCAGAAGGAGAACATCATTTGTTATGTTTCCTTTTGGTCCTGTTTCAATTCTTTTCAATTCTAGACAAATTTAACTCATTACTGAGTTAATTTATTTGTTTGTTTTTTAAACAAACACAGTTCTGTGACCTGAGCTGCTGCCTCTTGGTTTTCAGTTCACGGAGCATGGAGCAGTTGGCAACCTTGGGGTGCATGTAGTGAAAGCTGTGGGAAAGGTACCCAGATGAGAACGAGGCTGTGCAATAGCCCACCACCATCATTTGACGGGTCGTACTGTAGTGGAGCAGAAACACAGATGCAAGTGTGTAATCAAAGGCACTGTCCAGGTAAGGGAAATGCAGCACTTAGACCTTGCCTAAATTTGCCTCTATTTCTTATTGAGCTAAGGATACATCCCTGGTGGCACAACAGTTAAGTGCTTGCTGTTAACCTTAAGGTCCACATGTCAAACCCACAAAGTGATTCTACAAAAGAAACGTCTGGAATTCTGCATCTGTGAATATTATGAGGCTGTTCTCTTCTGACATATGGGGCCTCTGTGAGTTGAAATTGATTTGATGGTACTCAACAACAACTTCTTGAGACCCCTGGTAGCAGGGTACAATACTTGCTGGCTGCAAACCAAAAGGTCAGTGGTTCAAATCCACTAGGCATTCCTTGGGAGGAATATGGTCATCTCTTCCTGTTAAAATGTACAGCCTCAGGGAGCTCTGGTGGCCTAGTGGTAAGGAGCTGCAACTACAATCCCAGAGGCTCACGGTTCGAATCTACCAGATGCTCTGCCGGGGAAGGAGGGACAATCTCCTCCTATATTAGTCAGATCTGATTTGACGGTACACTCACACAAAAATAATAAAATAAAAATTAAAAAAAAATGTACAGCCTCAGAAACTAAATGACGGCTCACCATGAGTGGGAACCTTCCGGATGGTGATTTTGGTTTACATCGGTAAAACACCACTCCATTTTGACTGTGCCTCACAAGATCATCACATAACCTAACAATGCCCAGAGTTTCAGCTGATCACTCTTAGATAATAATACATATGTTTTTTCTAACACCAGTTGATGGCAAGTGGGCAGCATGGGCCAGCTGGAGTGCCTGTACTGTGTCCTGTGGAGGAGGTTCCAGGCAGAGATCCAGGGACTGTTCGGACCCTGCCCCCCAGTACGGAGGAAGCAAATGTGAAGGCAGCGATGTCCAGAGTGACTTTTGCAATAATGACCCTTGTCCAAGTGAGTGTTGGAAACAGTGAGTCACCATGACACTTCTTCAAATTTCATGACAGCCTTCAGCCCTGAGAGCTAGAATATTCTGTCACTCAATTCTTCTGTTTTGGGTTTCAGATGTCACAATGTCATACGGTTGCTGTTGTGGCTGTATAATACTATATATATGTCATTGGTTTATCTGGGCAAAGGCTGTCTTTTTTCATTCATTTTATTTAAACAAACTCCAGAGTACAAGGATGAGGGTACCCTTGCCTGTAACTTAATAGTGTTGATGATTCCTTTAAGGAAGCATGCAAGCAGATCTGTCTTAATTCAATCACCAAGTTACATTTTTACAGCAGCAACGTGATATCTGGAAATCTGAGTTTTACCATATCCTAAATGTTACAGCCTTGGCTCTTTGAGAGCAAAGACTGTCTCATTCATACCCTCTCTCCACTCCTGGGATATTTTAAGACTCAATAAATGTATGCTAAATGGAACCACATAGTCTCTGGAAGGTACACCCAATTTCTAGTCAAAACAACAGTTAGGCCATCTGCCTTTGGAAATTGCCTATTCATAGCTTTGTATGTTTCTTTTAAGTTCTTGAAGAAAGATTTTTCCATACCCTTTGGATGAACGTCATTGTTTAACATTTTCATTTATAGGGCTCCATTTTCATGTTAAATGATTCTGTTTGTAGCTCATGGTAACTGGAGTCCGTGGAGCAGCTGGGGGACGTGCAGCCGAACGTGCAATGGAGGCCAAATGCGGCGGTATCGCACCTGCGCCAACCCTCGTCCCGCCAATGGAGGAAGAGCCTGTGGGGGGCCTGACTCCCAGATCCAGAGATGCAACACTGACGTGTGTCCCGGTGAGCTTCCCGACTCCTGGCAGTAGAACAGTTCAATTTGTGCTTATTTTAGCAGACTTTTCCTTTCAAATCTTAAACTAGGAGTTGTACAGCCAAAGTCATCCTGACTATAAAGTCACCAGATACTTCCTATCTGACATGGTAATCCTGACTATGTCATCCTTTTTTTTCATAGTGGATGGAAATTGGGGGAACTGGCATAGTTGGAGCCGCTGCTCTACCTCGTGCGGAGGAGGGGAAAAGACTCGGAAACGACTGTGCAACAATCCCATGCCGTCTAAAAACGGCCTCTCCTGTGCAGGAGACGCAACTCAGGTATCCAGATGCAATCTACAAGCATGTCCAGGTAAGCAACTAAATTAGACTTCTTGTTGTTGTGTGCCATCAAGTGGACCACGACTCCGAGTGACCCTGTGACAGCAGGTCAACACTTAACCCTGTCCTGCATCAGCCACATGATCTTCAACAAACTCAAGTCCATTGTTGCAGTGGCTGCGTCCAATCCATCCTGTTAAGGGTCTTCGTTTCTTTCTCTGAACCTCCTCTTTCCTCAGCATGATATCTTTTTTCATCCCCCACCTGATACTGTGCTCAAAGGAAACTAAATTTAGTCCTACTTGATAATGTGCTCAGAGAAAGTCAGACAACGTTTCACCATCCTTGCCTCTAAAAAAGGGGCACCCCATGCTCCTAACACTTCTTCTATTTGTTTGCCTTTATACAGTACATGGTTTACTGTTGAAATTCGGCTAGGCACGGTCTTTTAGATACTGTGACCAAATTATTATAGAGATCCCACTCTGAGCCCAAAAACTACAAAATCATGCCAAATCAGGGAGGATGAATTGGGGAATAGAGAGAAAGGCAGTTTTTCCTGGGGAAAGTGGTTCTACACCAAGGCTTCTGGCTGGGATTTAGTCTCTGCTCTTACCTTCCAGGATTTCTTATAAAAGGGAGCAACAGGCATTGCTAGAAATTGGAGCTATGAGCTTAAAAGGTAAAAGGGCATGAGAAAGTTGGGAGGCAAAGCTGAGACTAAACACTCAGGATGAAAGCAAAGCCAGGACTGAAGGTCAAAGAGACAGACATAACTAGAAATTGTTTATTCATGAATGGGCATACAGAGAACACGAGTGTAGAAAGCATCTTAAGTCAAGGAGAAAGGCTGGGAGCCAAGTCAGCAAAATTGCTAGATATTGTAACTGATGGGGGGAAAAAATTCAGAATTCTAGAACACTTGGAATTTAGAAAAAAGTTGTTATGGTTCCTGGCCCTACTAGGTAATCCTAAAAGCACTTATCTCAAAGGTCAGTCTTCTAAGGACTAAAACAATTGAAACAATAATAGCTTAACATCATTAAAGTATCAAGATAACACCGGAATCCCCACATTTTAGAAATAATATATCCCTAAAATATGGCATAGCCTTTGGTAGAGTGATAGAGGGATGTTACATGAAAAGGAATATAGAATCCAGACAAGCTCAAATAGCAAGTGATTGATACTGACAAATTTCAGGAAGTACCATATGAGCAGAAGCCAATGGTCATGAAGAAGGAAGTGAAAGCTGCATTGAAGACATTGGCCAAAAATAAAGCCCCAGGAATCAGCGGACTATCAATTGACTTGTTTCAATTAATAGATGCATCACTGGATGTGCTCACCAGTCTACGCCAGAAAATTTGGAGCTACCTGGCTGGATAACTGGAAGAGAGCCAAAGGTGATTCAACTGAGTATGGATACTATGGAACAATATCAATATTACATGCAGGTAAAATGCTGCTGAAGAGCATTATTTTTAAAAAATGGCTAGAGCAGTACATAAATAAGGCACTGCTAGAAAGTCAAGCAGGATTCAGGAGAGGCCGTAGCACTAGACATCAGACTGCTGATGTCAGATGGATCCTGGCTGAAAGCAAAGAATACTAGAAAACTCTGTTTATGCTTTATTGGCTATGTAAAGGCATTTGACTGTGTGGATCATATAAAATTATGGCCAACATTGAGAAGAATTGGAATCCTAAAGCACTTAATTGTATTCATGTGAAACCTGGACCTGGACCAAGAGGCTGTTGTATGAAGAGAGCAAGTGAATACTGTTGTTGTTATTATGTGATGTCCAATCTCCTGTGATTCATAGCGACCCTACGTACAACAACAGTCCTAAACCCTGCTCTATCTTGCTCCAATCTTATTGATTATACCTATTCCCAGTACCCCAGTCACTAAATCAATCCATCTTATCTAGGGTGAGAGTCTTCCTTTCTCTTGCACTATCCCTCCACCCTTTCAAGAATGATGTCTCTCTCCAAGGACTGGTCCCTCCTTGCAATATGGCCAAAGAATGTCAGACGAAGGTTCAGATTCCTTGCCTCTAAGGAACAGCCTGATCTCACCCTCTCCAGGACAAACCTGTTTGTTCTTCTAGCAGTCCATGGAATATTCAACACTCTTCTCCAGCACCACAGCTCAAAGACATCAATTCTCCTTCTATCATCCTTAGTCAATGTCCAGCTTTCTGATGTGTTGCAAGTAATTGCAAAGACTATGGCCTGGATCAGGTGTACCTTAGTCTCCAGATTGACATTGTCAGTCTAAATACTACATGGTTTAAAAATAAGAAGAGAATGCATGAGGGTTGTAGTCTCTCTCCATACCTATTCAATCTATATGCTGAAAAAATTATTTAAGAAGCTGGACTCTATGAAGAGAAATGTCACATCAAGATCAGAGTTAGTGTCATCAATAAACTGCATTATGCGGATAACACAACTTTGCTTGCTGCAAGTGAGGAGTACTTGAAGTATTTTTTGTAAAAGATCAAAGAATATAACCTTCAAAATGGATTACATCTCAATGTCAAGAAAACAAAAATCCTTACCGCTAGACCAATAGGCAATATCATAAATGGAGAAAAAATTGAAACTGTCAACAAGTTCATCTTACTTGTATCCACAGTTAACATCCTTGGTACCAGCAGTTGGGAAATAAGGAGGTGTATGGCACCGGGAAACTCTGCAGTTACTGAACTCTCCAAATTATTGAAGAATAATGATGTTAGTGTGAGGACTGACATACACCTGATTCAGACCATGGTCTTTCTGATAACTTGCTGTGCATCTGAGACCTGGACAGTGAATAAAGATGACAGAAGAATAGATGCCTTTGAGTGTTGGTGTTGGAAAGAGTACTGAATATACACTGCCAAAAGAACAAATGTATCTTGGGGAGGTTGCAGCCAGAGTGCTCTTTAGAGGTAAGATGATGAGGCTTCACCTCACATACTTCAGGCATGTTGCTAGGAGAGGCTGTTCCTTGGAGAGGGACCTGATGCTCAGAAAAGTAGAGGGTCAGCTAAGGAGAGAATGGTAGATTGACATGATGACTGCTGCAGTGGACTCTAATGTGTCAGGAAGTATGAGGATGGCACAGGATAGGATAGGATTTAGATCTGTCATTCATAGGGTCTCTATGAGCCATATTCGATGACACCTAACAACAACAACTACAACCTGTCAAGGTTCAGTATATCTGTTCAACATATAAGGGAGTTGCTGAAGATCTTTAGGCTTAAAAAAAATAGGTATGGTTTCTGTTGAGGTCTTTTGTAGTGCACCACTTGGTGTTGTCTAGGCTCCATTAGCAGGAAGTTCAAAATAGATCTACTGATTGGATTGTAGAAGACTGGAAGACAGTTATAAGGATCTAATCAAAAGCTAGGAGACTTCTGAGAAGAAGGGAGACTCAAGAGAAGTTATTTTGTGAGAGTTAAATAACAAATGTCAAGATGGAAGATCATAGATACCATAAAAATAGGAATTGTGGAGACAAAGATTAGTGATTCAATGAATTCTTTTCAAGACTTATGTTACTATCTCAAAGGGTCATATTGCTTTAGATTTCCAATAATGAAATATAAAAACAGATCCTTAATGTCACACTCACTAATATTAAATAAAATTTTCATTTTGCTAATTTTGCAGGTAAAATCAATAATCAAATAAAAATGCCTTCAAACTCTGAAAAAAAATGCCACCAACTAACCTTATTAATAATGTCTCAGAATAATTAATTGTCTTATCTTTCCCCTGTTTAGGACTAAGGGTAAAGACAAAAATGGTCTACTAGGACCTCCTTGGCCCTATGACCTACTTTCCTACATGATCTTGAATATAGTAACCATCACTCTCATCTTGTTTGATCCTTTTGGGTTTTTAGATGTGACAAGCCACTCCCCGCCCCCTTCTCTCTAATGCCTCACAAAAATTTCAACATGTTATTTCTTCTACCTAGAACGTTCTTCCTCTACCCCCACCAAAGCTTTAATTAAGGTCTAAATCTCCCCCATGTTGGCATTCTATTTTTACTTCTCTCTATACCCTAACGGTTACCCATGGCGGAAAGTGTTTGGTGGAGCTCCCCGATTAAAACAAGCTTGGGAGGAGGAGTGGCATCCACTTCCGAAATGGCTTGCCTCCGGAAAACCTATAAACATGGAGAAACGATGAAAGTTATAAAAATGTTCAGGTCTTTAGTTCACTGGGTCGCTATGAGTTGTCTACGACTTGACGGCACTTAACAACTGTATTAGATTCTTTGAACATATTTCATTTAAACTTTACATTTACTTGTGTCATCCTTATTAATGTCTATTTCTATTACCATGAAAGTTCTATGAAGGTGAGCTTCATGTCTTCTCCTACCCCCTTGACATGAAACTTGATTAGCAAATTAATGTATTCCAGCAAATGAATCAGTATTTTTCATAAGTTTTCTCTCATAATAGTAATGAATAAGTTTAATAAATATAAATTAAAATAATGAGGTACCATATTTATTCATTCTTTTGAGGTTGACTGTAGTCATATTTTCCCTACTGTTCGATACATAATAGCATTTGAAACAACTAATGACTGTCTTAAAAATATATTCAAATACATATTTTGTGTCAAAATTTTAAGAAAGCAAAAATTTGTAATTACCCTGCTTTTTCATCATTATTCTTCACCATTTAATTTTCTTGCTTTTCTCCCTTCTTGCCTCATTTTGTGATTGTATCTATTTCCATCTTATTGTTTAGAAGGGTAGCATAAATAAAGAAAAGTGCTGAGATTAGGGTGAAAAAAATATATATTCAAACACAAGATCTCAAATAATGAGTAATTTATTCATCTCACTACCTGCTTCTTCCCAAGATGCTTCCTGTCTTGTCATGGATGCTATTTGTTTATGTAACATTCACTAACTCTAGGTGTTTTTCTCTCTCTCTCTCTGTCTCTCTCCCTCCTCCCTCCCTCCCTCTTTCTTCTCCCTCCCCATGCCCTTTCCCTTTCTCCCTCTCACTCTCCCACTCTCTCTTGCTCTCACTCTTTATCATAAAGTTAAAACAGGTTTTTCAGGCTGTAAATCACATGAGAAAAGATTGCTTATCTTTCTCCCATGGAGTTGCTGGTGGCTAGCAACCAATAATTTTGTCAAACAGTGGGGAAAATACATTAAATTTTTTTAGAAATACTTTTAAAAAAATAAGGTATAATTGTTTTTCAGTGTAACTATATTGATATGAATTCTGTGGCACTGTCAACAGTATAATATCTTACTCTATTTTTTTTCAAAGCTAAACATTTTCCAACATGAATGTCATTCCCTCACAGTAAAGAACTCAATAAACCCTAATATCTTCTGTGACAGAAATCTTACTCTTAAAACCCAAAACTAAACAATGCACCCTAGATACCCCAAACCTATTTTGTCAAACACCTGGAAAAAAGGTTAAGGGCTGAACCCACCTTTCTGTGTCTTCGTAAAAAATGAGAGAAATCAAAAACTATAAGTTTTTATGCCAAGCTGATCTATGTTCAGATTCTCATTCTACTGCTTATTTCTGGGAAGAGTCACTAAACTTCTGTGTATTTCAGTTTTCTAATTTGAAAACTGTCTCTACTTAAATCTACCTTACAGGGCTGTTGGTAGTGCTGTAAGAGTTAACACATATTTAGTTATTATGACATGTTCAATAAATTCCCATTAACATCATCATTTCATCACCACCAACAAAAACACATACTGTACTTTATTTTGGCTTTGGGTTTGGATGCTGAGTGTTCTTTGGATTGTGAAATAATACTATGATGTGGATTGAAAGATCCTAGATTTATGTGGAAGGATGAATGTTACATGAAATTAGAATGTTTCAAAAGCTTATTTATTCCTCTCTTAAATTCAGATGTCACCAGATCTTTTGATGTTCTAGGAGAGATTTGTAGCATCTCTGAATATTGACCTTCTTTTCTCTCATGTAATGTTGATGGAAGGAGCCCTGAGGTCAGAGTGGTTTAAAGCACTGGGCTGCTAACCCAAAGGTCAGCTGTTGGAATCCACCAGGTTCCATGGAAGAAAGATGTGACAGTCTGTTTCCATAAAGATTTACCAACTTGTAAGCCCTGTGGTGAAATTCTATTCAGTCCTATAGTGTTGCTATGAATCAGAATCAATGTGATGTGTTTAATTTTCTATTAGAGTACTGATGGAATTGTTTTCTTATCCAGAAGTTCTTTTTCCTTCTTCCAATAGGTGGGCCACAGAGAGCCAGAGGAAGTGTTAATGGATATATTAATGATGTTGAATTTGGAATTGCTTTCCTTAATGCCACAGTAACAGATAGCCCTAATTCTGATACTAGAATAATACATGCTGAAATTACCAATGTACCTCGTAGTCTTGGTAAGTCTTTGCTGACAAGCCTTATTAATTTTTTTTTTAAAACAACTGACAGCACTTAACAGCAACAACAATAACAACAACATAGAGAGAGCTCAGTTGGCCTAGTGAACAGAAAGTAATGCTACCAAGCCAGAGGTGGGTGATTTTAATCTGCAGCCCTCAGGCCTGGTTTTAATTGTTTTTGGTCAAACATTCTTCTAAGTGGTATAGCACTGGTCTGTCCACTTGTTGTATAGAGGTAACTTGTGGTTGCTGTGATGCTAAACACTGTGACACTGATGTGTCAAAGGCAATAATGGTTACCCATGGTGGACAGTGTTTGGTGGAGCTCCCCAATTAAAACAAGCTTGGAAGAAGGAGTGGCATCCACTTCTGAAATAGCTTGCCTCCAGAAACCATATGGACTTGGAGAAATGATGAAGGTTATACAAGTATTCAGGTCTTTCATTCACAGGGTCATTATGAATCGTCTACAACTAAACGGCACTTAACAACAACAACAACAACATATTCATTCGTGTTTCTACTAATGATCAGTATAATCTTATTTCTGCCTCTATGGTAAACTCTTAAAGAAACGTGCTGGATTGTGTTTTGTTTTATAGTTTTTCAAGATTGTTTGTTGTGTTGTTGTTATGTGCTGCCAGTAACTTGCAACTCCTAGTGACCCTATGTACAATAGCCCTAAACCTTGCCCTATCCTGTGCCACCTAATTGTCTCTGACACACCTACTATCATTACCCTAGTCACTGAATCAATCCATCTCATTGAGTATGAGTGTTGTCCTCTTTTGCGCTGTCCAAGCATAACATCCTTCTCCAAGGACTGGTCCTTCCTAGCAGCATGCCCAAAATATGTCAGATGAAGCTGCAAAATCCTTGCCTCCAAGGAGCACTCTGGTTTCACTCTCTCTAGGGTGAGCCTGTTTCTACTAGCAGTCCGTGGTATATTCAATACTTTTCTCTAGCACCACAGCACAAAGGCATCAATCAGCTTTCCTTTTAACATCCCTAGTCAGTGTCCAGCTTTCTGACACATAGAGATTAATTGAAAAGGCTACGGCCTGGATCAGGTGCACCTTAGTCTCCAAACTGATGTTGTTGCTCTTCAGTACTTTGGAGAGGTCTCTGACAGCAGACTTTCCCAATGCAATTTGCCTTTTGATTTTCTGGCTCCTGGTACCAAGAGTGTTGATTGTGGAGCCAAACAAACTGAAGCTGTAAACAATCTCAGTCTTTTCACCACCTAACTGAATAAGGTACAGTTAAAAAATAGTAAGTATTTTGCTTTGTTACCTAATGTATCTTCTCTTCTTTAGGTCCTGCAATGAGAAAAATAGTTTCTATTTTAAATCCCATTTATTGGACAACAGCAAAGGAAATAGGAGAAGCAGTCAATGGTTTTACTCTCACCAATGCTGTCTTCAAGAGAGAAACCCAAGTAGAATTTGCAACTGGTCAGTGTCAGCTGAATTTAATATTCTACGTGTATGGAAAAAAAAAAGATTGCTTTAAAAGTTGGTAATGAAGAAAAATATGTATTCCTACAGAGAATCATTTCAAAGTGTTTGATGAAATTTTATAAATGATATAAAAGGAATTTCACATTTTTCTAGTAAACTTAAACTGACATGAAGTCTTTAAGAGACCATGTGTTTCTAAGTAGTAGAATGAGTTTTATACCCTGATTTTTTTTTCTCCTGTTCTCTGTGTTTTCTCTCATTAAATCCTTAGAGAGAGTCTTAAAAGCCAGAGCAGAACAGAAAAACGTGTCATTGATATGGAATGCTTTACCAGCTAACTGGATGGTCTGATACCATATAGCTGTTCTTTATAAGAAAAAACCACAACAACCCCTAAATGGAAATAAATAAACAAAAGCATTTTACTTTTATATTTAGTCTAATAGCTAGTTTTAACTATTCATGAATCTTCTGCATATACCTTGGTAAAAACCTTTATGTTAAGCCTATTTAAAGGTTACGACCACTTTGGAAGTGATCCCTAGGGAAAGGGCTGAAGAAGGACTTATACTTAACTAGCATTTAATCAGCCCAGAGGAGTATTGGTAGCACTGTGTTAAAGCATTTGTCTGCTAACTGAAATGTCAGTGGTTCAAACTCACCAACCACTTCGTATAACAAAGATGAAGAAGACTATTTCCATAAAGATCTATGGCCTTGAAAACCCTATGGGCAATTCTACTGTGTCCAATGGAGTCTTGAATCTACTAGCTTACTCCATGGGAGAAAGATGGGCACTCTCCTCCCATGCTGTTTATAAACTCTAAAGACTGATGGAAGGTGAGCTATGAATCAGTTCTGGCTTGATGACACATAACGACAATCCAGAAGACAAGTGGATCTATTCATGTCCCTCCACTTATCTAAGCAGCCATTTACTATTTTCTCAAGTGGCAAGAAGAACAAAGCCCCATGGCTGGTTTTATGGGGGCTGCCAGTCTCGCCAGTAAAGCTATTCATTACTTCTCTCAAGCCCTTCATTTCTATAGAGCTGCCTTACTGTTGCTTGAGTTTTAAGTGTGGAATCCTTCACATGATGATATGCTGCATTTTTGTCATATAAATAGTAATTTTAGACCTAATTCTTTAGTTCAAGGAAGAGAGGGTATGTTAAATGTTAATTCCCTTATTGTCTGTGCTCCTTCAAGTTTGAATTAGAGTGACATAGCTGAACTGGTGTATGTAAGGTAAATTGGCTCTTCATTTACAGAAATTCATTCTCTCTCTCTCTCTCTCTCTCTCTCTCTCTCTCTCTCTCTCGAAAATGAATGCATTGTAATCCCCAGGAGAAATCTTGCGGATGACTCATATTGCCAGGGGCTTAGATTCCGATGGTGCTTTGCTGCTAGACATCATTGTGAGTGGGTATGTTCTACAACTTCAATCACCAGCTGATGTCACTGTGAAGGTAAAATTTCAATAAAGCACGCTTTCCCACTGAGGTGCTCTGGTGGCCCCGAGGTTAGGGGCACTTGGCTATCAACCAAGAAGTCAACAGTGTGATCCTGCTAGATGCTTTATGGGAGAAAGTTGTAATCAGTCTGCTTCCATAAAGATTACAGCCTTGGAAACCCCATGCGGACATTATCTCTTATTTCAGAGTCACTATGAGTCAGAATCCACTGAATGGCAACAGATTTGGGTTTGGGGGTTTTTCTTTGCTGTTAATACTTAAGTTTGGTTGCCTTCCCTGTTTACTGGAGTAATGAAAAGAGTAAGAGGCCAAAAGCCTTGGAAAGACGGCTAAGAACCTTGCACACTTTAGGGAGTAAATGTGTAAACTCTAAATTTAGAAAAACTTTTTTTGGTCCTTGTTTAAAAATCATTAAAGGCAAGAAAGTTTGTAGTCTCTTTGTATTTTTATCATCCTGATTAATCAGGAATAAGGCCATTCCTATATTGATTTAAGTTACTTCTATTAAGCTTCTGTATACTATTCTTGAAATTTTTCCATATAAAATCTTTTTTTGAAGATTTCTTTAAGTAAGAAATTAAAGAACCTTTTACACTTTCCACCTACAACCTTTTGTCCCTGTTATACTATAATCTGTGGCAGTATAATTATCAAACTAATGTACACATAATAAAAAGGTTCAAACTTAAATTCTTTCCTGATTGCTAATATAGAATCACAATTTTATTCAAAACTATGTAGGGTTTCGTTTGTTTGGTTTTTTTTGCTTCTAACTCCTTTTTTCCTGTCCTTTTCATTGGTGACAAGTTGCAACCAACTCAAAGCTGACCCTCCATCAGGTGTCCAAGGCTGTAAATCACACAGAAAGAGGTTGTTCATCTTCCTCTTGAAGTGCCACTGGTGGATTCTAGCCACCAGAGAGCATGGCCTTAGCACAAATCTCAGTGGGCTATGCTACCAGGCCTCCTCCTGTATCTCTTAGTAGCTGCTGTTATTATGTACCATGAAGTTGGTACATAGCTGCCCCTTCAGCATATTTTCTTAGGCAGTTAAACTGCATGGGAGTTGACTACACATCTTTCTCCCACAGAGGAGCTGGTGGATTTGAACCATGTATCTTTGGGCTGGCAGTGCAACCTCTTACCACTAAGCCACCAGAGCTCCCTCATAATACTCTCAAAAAAATATGTACTATGAATTGTGATGATATTTAAACCCATGTTGTTCTCTTTAGGATTACACAGAAGATTACATTCAAACAGGCGCTGGGCAGTTATATGCCTACTCAACTCGGCTGTTCAGTGTTGATGGCATCAGTGTCCCGTACACATGGAACCACACTATTTCCTATGATGAGGCACGAGGACGAATGCCATTCTTGGTGGAAACTCTTCATGCATCCTCTGTGGAATCTGACTACAACCAGTTAGAAGAGACTTTGGGTTTTAAAATCCATGCTTCAATTTCCAAAGGTAATTTGTTTATAGGGAAGGCCCAATCTTTATGTTATTTGTTCTTTCTGGAAGAGCAAAAAGAATGCCAATGAAACAATTCAATAATAAGGATACTAAAACATACATGCAGCCAAATGATATTCAGTGGTAGCATTTTGCATTTTCAGATTTGATTCCAATTCTATGTACCTCTTGTGAAGCTGCCACTTCTCTGTCATTGGAGGCTTGTGCATTACTGGAATGCTAAACAGGTTTTAATGGAGTTTAGCCTAAAATGGACTAGGAAGTAAGGCCTTGGATCTACTTCCAAAAGAAATCAGCCAAACAAAACCCTGGGTATCATAACAGTCTGACCCTCATGAGATCATGGAGATGGTGCAGGAATGAGCAGTGCATTTGTCATTTTGCATATTGCATATTGTGCGTGAGTCAGAGGGTCAATTTAAGGCGACTAATGCAACCACCACCATGCTGCCATCAGGTTCCACGTGCATGTTGTCTGTATTCTGTGAGAAGAAAACTTTATGATATAGCCAATCTAAATGGAGGTCTAGCATATTCAGTTTACTAATCCTGCTTGCTGCAGGTTAAAGAGAAAACCAAAATCCTTAACAAGGGCCAATAGGCAATAGGCAGCATCATGACAGATGGAGAAAATCTTGAAGTTGTCAATGATTTGATCTTGCTTGGATCCATAGTCAACTGTACTGGTACCAGTAGTCAAGAAATCAAAAGAAGAAAAAAAAAAGAAATCAAAAGAAAAATCTACTGTTAAGGACCTTTCCAAGGTACTCAGGATCAAATATGCCCATTAAAGATGAAGATTCACCTGATTCAAACAAGAACTGATGCTTTTGAATTGTGGTGTTAGAGAAGAATAGTGAATATATCATGAATTAGCAAAAGAACAAAGCAGTCTGTCTTGGAAAATGTACAACTGGTGTGCTCCTTAGAGGTAGGGCTGATGAAGTTTTATCTCACATATTTAGGGCGTATTGTTAGGAGGGGCAAATCCTTGGGAAAAGACATCATACTTGGGAAAGTGGAGGCTCAGTGAAAGAGAGGAAGACCCTTAACGAGATGAATTGACACAGCAACTGTAACAATGGGCTTGAGTATATCAGAAATGTGGAGAATGGCCCAGGATAAGGTAAAGTTCAAGTCCTTTGTTCATAGTATTGTTATAAGTCATAGTTAGCTCAACAGTACCTAACAACAACAACAACAACAATCTTCTCGGACTACCAAAGAAACAGGCAAACCTGTAGTGGAGGAAGTACAAATCGGGTGCCTCTAAGAGGGAAGATAGTGAAACTTCGTCTCGCATGTTGTCAGAAGGCATAATCCTTGGGAAAATACACACCTGCAAAGAAGAGGGTCAGTAAAAGAAACAAAGATTCTCAATGAGATAGACTGGCATGATGACTGTACTCATGAACTTGTAATCACAATCTCCTGTATGGCAGAGATTATAAGAAAGGCACAGGAGAAGGTTCACTAGAGTCATAACTTGACAGCACCTAACAGCAACTTTCTTCTTAGTACAGCATTATTTTGCTCAGTGCTGGCTTTTAAAAAGTAGATCCTAGTGAATTTTAAACAGCACCATTTGCTCTCATCGTACTCAATGTCCTTACATGCTGTTGAGCTACTACAGAATGAAGCCCTGCATGAGGCACCCATCTAAAATGAGAGAGAAGACCTTCATGCTCAGTAGAGACCCACAGCTCATTTCCACTCTTTGCTCTTGCTTTTATTTGTTGAACATTCAACTGCTTTCTTCTTCAGCATCAATCATGGCTGCATCACCAGATTCAAGATCATAGTAAACAGGAATATTCATTCACATATTTTTAGATAATTGCAGATTCATGAAGTCTCAGTGTTCCTCGGCACCTCCTCCTTCCTTCAACTCCTAGAGTGAATAAAAAGAAAAATTGCTGGAATTAAGGACTGGGTTTTTTTCTCTCTTTATCAAATATGTCTAGTTTTAAAATATAACCTCTACTTCTTCCCGTCTTTAGTTCTCCTTCCACCAAACAATGACTAACTATGAAGTTATAGTATATACGTCCTATTCAATTATGCAAATCCTCCAAGTTTGAAAATATTCAGGTAGCTTTATGATATCTGTATGAGTATTTTGAGAGGAAACTTGTGATCTGTAATTTGGAAAGATACACTAGAGATTTTAATGCCCTTTCCTATCCTTGCATGCTGTGAGTACTCAAGATTACATCTGATATATGTACTTATACTCTGTTGACCGTGTTCCTTCCTGTAAACTGCAGGAACTGTAAATTCCAAGGTGTTGCTAGAGTCAGCTCCAACTCATAGTGACCTCGTTCAAAACAGAATGAAACATCAACAACTCTTGTCACCACCATCCTCACAAGCTTTATTCTGCTTAAACTCATTATTGCAAGTAATTGTTGCTATACACCATGGAGCTGGAACTGGCCGATAGCTTACTGTCTAGCAGGTTTTCAGAGATAATAAGTCGCATGGGAGGTGATTGTCCATATTCTTCCCATGGAGCAGCTGGTGGGTTGAATCGTGTGAGTTGATAGCACAATTCCCCAGGCGGCTCCTTGGAGGGAAGGATTCTGGAGCTCCAATCTCACATACTTTGGGTATGTTGCAAGAGGGACATCATGCTTGGGAGAGGGAAGGGACAGCACAGGAGAGGGGGACCCTGAATGAGATGGATTGACTCAGTGACTGGAGTAAAGGCGGTGGGTGTGTTGGATACAATGAGGTGACTCAGGACAGAGCAGGGTTCAGAGCTATTGTACATAGGGTCGCTATGAGCAACTTGACAGCATTTAATAACAAGCAGTCACCAGTGCTCCCTTTGCAGAGTACATGCTGCAGTTTCTTTTGTATTAACCACCAGGGGGCAAGCTTGCCTTCTTGGTAGTTTAGCCACCAATTTCTCACCTACAGTGTTGATGTGGACTAGAGTAAAAGAATCTCCTTGAGAGCTTGATGACAGGCCAGACTTCTGGGTCTAAAGAGTCTGATTTAACAAATCCAAATAAGATCTGAAAAATCTCTATGTTCTAACACCGGATTTAGATGGTTCCAATTTTTCTGTAATTTAGAATCTGCTTTGCACACTGGCATTTGAAAAGTACTAGTCAAAACAAGTTATAAATATAAATTAACCTCCTCAACATTTTAAATCTTTAAAATTAAGTTGTGTGCTTTTAAAACAGAATGAGAAAATCTACTATTTTTAGCATTATTCAAGAGAAGCTAGTAGGGAAACATGAATGTAACTAGAAATAAATTTTTAAAAAAACTTTGAGAAATGAGCATGAAAGTGAAAAACATGAGCATAAAAGTGAAAAACATGTACAAGGAGTAAAATGTACAAAGAAAAAAACCTTATCACATGTCATGAACAATTGTGATTAGCCTTAATATAATACAAGCTATCACAAATCAGTAAGAAAAGGCAAGAACCCCAAAAGAAAAATAAGGGTGCTTGCTTCGGCAGCATATATACTAAAAAAATTGGAACGATAAAGAGAAGATTAGCATGACCCCTGTACAAAGATGACACACAAAAATAAGGACTGAAAAAAGTTATTTTTTAAAAAAATAATTAAAAATGGGATAAATTTTCAACCTCATTACAAAGCAAAGAAATGCAAATAAAGACAACAAATACCACTTTCTAACTCTTATTGTAAGACTGACATGATAACCTCCCAACAAAATATTACGGTGAAATTTGCAGGGAGCTGGGAGTCAAAGAATAAAAAGGGGAGAATTCTTTTGGTATTTCTCAAGTGGAAAGAACTGGAAAAACAAATTCCACCTTGGAGTTGCAGTATTACTATGGACACAATTTTGTATAATCTAGGATGAATCAAAAGAAGATGGAGGGAATATCCAGAGTCACTGTACCTAGAAGAATTCATTGACACTGATAAATTTCACGAAATACCATATGAATAAGAGCCAATGGTGATAAAAGATAAAGTTCAAGCTGCACTGAAGGCAATGACAAAAAGTTAGGCTCCAGGAATCAATGAAATACCATTTGACATGTTTCAACCAACAAATGCAGCCCTGGACATGCTCACCAATCTATGCCCGGAAATTTGGAGGACAACTACCTGGCCAACTGACTGGAATAGATCCATATTTGTCCCCATGCCCAAGAAAGGTGGTCTGACAGAATGTGGAAATTAACAAAAAATATCAAAATATTGTTGAAGATCACTCAAAACCGGCCAGAACAGTACACTGACAGGGAACTACCAGAAGTTCAAGCTGGTTTTAGAAGAGGCTACAGCACCAGAGATATCATTCCTGATATCAGATGTATACTGATTGAAAACAGAGAATAACAGAAGAATGTCTATTTGCCTTTTTTACTGCTTACACAAAAGCATTTGACTGTGTGGATCATAACAAATTATGGCTAACAATGAGAAGAATGGGAATCTCAGAACATATAATTGTGCTCATATGGAATCTATACGTAGACCGAAGCTATTGTCCAAACAGAGCAAGGGAACGCTGCATGGGTTTAAAATCAGGAAGGGTGGGCATCAAGGTTGTATCCTTTCTCCATACTTATTCAATCTGTATGCTTAATAAATAATTTATAAAGCTGAACTCAAGAAGAATATGGCATCAGGAATGGAGGAAGACTCATCAACTATCTCGCATGATATAGTTGACACAACTTTTATAAAGCTGAACTCAAGAAGAATATGGCATCAGGAATGGAGGAAGACGCATCAACTATCTCGCATGATATAGTTGACACAACTTCGATTGCTGAAAGTGAAGAGGAAATGAAATATTTGCTGCAGAACTGCTTAAAGGCAATGTTGATTAGGTATTATTTGCATGACAACAGTCCAGAATAGGAGATGCATAACAAAGTGGACTGGGGAGGAGGAAGGAAATTGTGCAACAGTGAAAGAATTTTTTTTAAAGAGGAAAGTGAACTCCAGCAGGGTAAGTAGGGAGGAAAATATGCAGCAATGAATGAATGT